AAACATGCTATGTCTTTTCTGGCCTGTAAAAGGTAAATGTTTAGTCTGTAAAATACGAATTCTTGGGCTGCCTCACCAGATAAGTATTTGTGGTCTGGGAACCTTTGTGATTAAAAAAGCTGTTCTTTTGTATATGTAGAGAGAGTTATCTGAAAAAAAGATTGTTTTTATCACTGGATAGATATGGAAATTTACAATTAATAAACATTTTGTTACCAGTTATCTTCAGGTGGTACACTTAATCCAGTTTTAAACAATAGACTTTTATGTAAGGTTAAAAAAATTGGATAAGTGCGAATAAATACTTCATGAACATTGCAAATGCATCTTTAATTCTTGGTTTGTTTTTGGTATTACTCAACGTTTCCTTTGAAGTGTTTGCACAGGTATTGGGGATGTGTCGTTGGCCTCATTTGTTCATTTGGAAAATGCACAGTACAAGTTGAGTAGTAAAGATCAAATAAAAAAATAAGATCAAATCAAACCTTGAATCACTGTGTTGGAGAAAGCATCCTTTCTAAGAGGTTTTTAAAAACCAGTCTTGCTTTATGTTTTCCCAGTGTGAGGTCCAGACTTTGAGGTCCAATTTGTTGGTTGATGTTATTGTAAGCGGTGTTGCAGCAAATACTCCTGTCTGAGCCGGGTGTGGTGGCACATGACTATAATCCCAGCACTGGGGAGGCTAAGGCAGGAGGATCACTGTGAGTTCGAGACCAGCCTGGGCTACATAGTGAGTTCCAGGTCAGTCTCAACTACAGTGAGAGACCCTGTCTCAACCCCCCCCCCCAAAAAAAAAACAAACCCCAAAACTGCTGTCTGGATAGTGCTGGGTATTTTTTTTTCTATAGGATAGATTTTCAAATGATATGTGAAATTAAATCTTTAGTTTGTAGACACTTTTAAATTGCTAGACTGTTAAGGTTTACACTCTTACCAATGTGTATATGAGAAGACAGATTTCCTCAAAAGCTTAAGGTGGAGGGGCTGGGGATGGCACTGTGCCTGCCTGGCAAGTATAAGGTCCTGAGTTTGATCCCAGTACAGGAAGAAAAAAAAATACCTTAAGGTAAATGTTTTCAATCTTAAATTTTACAAATGTGAAATTAAAGATAGTATGTTAGGTTTTTATATTTGTATTTCCCTACTTTCTGTGAAATTGAAAGATCTTTTACAAGCAAAAGCTGATTTCTACTTTGGCCTGTGTAGTTTGTGTGTGTGTGTGTGTGCGCATGTGTGTGTGTGTGTGTGTGTGTCTGTGTGTGTATTTTAAGAGATCATAAAGAGATCACAGTGTCAGAAGCTAGACCTGCATTGTTTGCATTTCAAAGTAGTAGTTGTTTCTGAAAGTCTTCCTTGAAGATTAAAGTATATTGCTGCTCTGTGATTTTTTTAGAAGGCGCTTCTTGTTTCTGGATGATTTCCTTTAGTAAATTAAGGAATACTCCAGCCTAGAGTTGCCTTTGACAACAGGTAGGATGTGTGCTGTCTTCCCAGGGGCAGTATCGCCCTTAGCTGGAGCAGCCTGAGCAAGTCATTTTGTTGGAGTGAATCTTGGCCTGTAAGCGGTCTTCCTGGGGAGATGGAAGAATTAAAATTATGAATGATAAATCTAAAGCTTGAATTGAAATATATTTTGATCTTGTCACTTTTTACTAAAAGTTAATTGTATTATATTCTCTACCAAATACCAACACCAAATTTTCTGAGCATCTGCAAGACTTAGAATTTGCCATAAAATTACTATGTTCTTAGATATAAGTTGCATTTAAATCTTGTAAGTGGGTTCTTTACCAGTAGGTTTTGTTGTTATTGAAGAATCACTAGTTTGCTTTTAATTTTAACCTTTAAGCTTTTTTTTTCTTTTTTATGAAACAATATTGAGGATTGAACTTGGGTCCTCAAGCGTGGTAGGCCAGCACTCTGTGAATGAGCTACATCCCCACCTCTCTTAATTTTGAGATGGGCTTTCACTGAGTTGCCCAGGCTGGACTTGAATTTGGAGTCCTCCTGCCTCAGTCTTCTGGGTAGCTGGGATTACAAGAATGCACCATCATACCCAGTTGTCTTTAAGCTTTTATAGTTGGAATCATCCACGTAAGGGTGGAAGGAGATATTTTCCAGCACTACTTGTACAAGCTCAGATTTTAGGTTCTTGTTTGGAGTGAAATGTGCTCTTCACTATTTAAAAGCTTCATCCCATATTGCAAAAATTCTCTCCATGTTTTTCTCCTTACCAGTAGATTCCAGTTCAGTGTTCTCCTGCTGCTAAATGTAAAGTGAAATTTACTGTAGTATGTTTTTGTGATACAGTGGACCTTTGAGTAACAACTGGCCTGACATATGAACAACTTGGGTTATGACCGGAGTTTTACTTTTAACTTAAAAGTCTTGAGTTACGACCAGAATCCTGGCTGCTTGTGCTTCCAGATGGTCTCAGATACAGATTTAACCCATAAAGAGCTCTGGAAGGAACTTGAGAACATCCTTTCCCGTGTGGGGTTAAGCTGAGAAATCCTGGACCAGTGTCTCTCTAAGGATACTGAGATCTGCCTGTGTATAGGAGAGAGACTTTAAAGGCTGTGAAGAAGAGCCTGAGCCTTCAGTTGACCAACTTGAATTACAACCAGCCCTTGCAAATGAATTGAATTCATAAGTCAAGGGTCCACTGTATTTTTTAAAGAGGTACTACCTACAGAGATTTAATTCTTTTTTTTTTTTTTTTTGGGTACGGGGATTAAACTTGGGTCCTTGAATTTACGAGGCAGGCAGCAGATTAATTTATACTTTTAACTTATTTTTTATAGTATTCTGGTTTCTGGATTAATTTGTTTAATAAATAGTTGATTGCCTTTGTGTTCCAGGTACTGTACTAAGTACTAAGAACATAGCAACGAATAGGATTGGTAAGAGTCTTCTCTTTACAGAGTGGAAGTAGAGGACTACCCAAAATTTGTAAATACGGTTGTTCAAGATTTGTGATTAATCTAATGTAGTGTCATGCAGAACGTAAAACAGTATTATCTGATGGAAGAAGAAGAGCAGGCTATTTTGGCTCTGGTGGTTAGGGAAATTTTCTCCCCTTGATCTTAGCCAAAAGACTGAGAAATAATTAGGAAATTTTCTCTCAAGAGAGGTTTCTTGGGTGGAAACAGAATTTGCAAAGGCCACCATAAGTCTTCCTCCTATACCTCCTCCTTCCCCTCATCTCTCCCCTTTGGTTGAAACTTCACATTGAAGTTCCATATATAAGTATGGAACCTACATCTCTGGAGGAGGCTGGCATCTTCTGAAAGGTCTCGGCAGTCTTGTTAAGGCAATTAGGTTTTATTCTTCGTTTTAAATGGAGCAACACCGTGAGATTGAAAACTGAGGTTGACAGTCTCCTTCTCAAGCCTCCTTCAGAAAGGTTGGGTTAATACCCAACCTATCCTGATTAGAAAGTTTACTCCATAGTAGCTATTCAAACAGGAACTTTTGGGTGAAAACAAGGTTTGTAGTCTGTAAGTTCTTGGTTGCCTCAGCTCTGACCAAACGACTCTGGTGTCACTGCTAAAGGTAGAAAGCAAGTGAGTTTTGAGTCCCTGCTCTGTCAGTCAGAAGTGGGGTTTGTGAATTTTCTTGGCTTCAGTGGAGATGCAGTTCCTACTTGGAGCATTCCCATGAAGGTTACAGTGAATAAGGAGTAATATGTGTCGTGTGCTTTGTGTGAGCTGCAGACCAGCAGCTCCCAGTCAGAGGCGGCCATTGTTAATAAGACTAAACAAGTTTTTGAAGGAGGCCTGAGAAGGAGACTATCAGCCTCACAGTTTTCAAAAGGAAGAAACCAGCCATTTGCTTCTGCTGACTTGTAAGCCAGTGTGAGGGGCTTGCTGGTCCTGACATCTGAGATAATATCTGCCTGACTTGGTGTCATTGTGTGAGTAGCTGTGGACCCATAGCAGTTACCTTAATGCCTCAGTAAAACACTGGGTTATTTGGAGTTAGGTGGCTGTCTTCTTTTTTCTAACTGTAAATAAAATTTGCTTCTGTACCAGAACCGATAGTGGGAACTTAATAGACTTTAAGCAGATAGGGAATCCCTGGGTTTTCTCAAATAACATGGTATAAAGAAGAAAGTGAGCCAGGCGTGGTGGCACAGATCTGCAATCCTAGCACTCTGGGAGGCTGAAACAGAAGGATACCGAATTTGAGACCAGTCTGGGGAGTTTAGAGATTTAAGCAGACTCTGTCTAAAAATACAAAATTTTAAAAATGAGGGGCTGGGGCTGGAGGGCCTAGGGATTTAACTCAGAGGTTCCAGTGCCTACCTCAAAAGTGCAAGGGCCTGAGTTCCCTGGTACAAAAAAAAAAAAAAAAAAAAAAAGAATGAAAATGATGGGCTGGGGATATAGCTCTGTGTGCAGGTCATAGATTCAGTCCCCAGTAAGGGTGTAGAGAAGAGTGAGTGGTCAGAATAGAGGGATTTAAAAATCTTTGGTCAGCTGGGCATGGTGGCGCACACCTGTAATCCCAGCCCTCGGGAGGCTGAGGCAGGAGGAACTGTGAGTTCAAGACCAGCGTGAGCTACATAGTGAGTTCAGGTCAGGCTCAACTGCATAGTGGGACCCTGTCTCCAAAAACAAAACAAAAAAATAAAAAAAAAAATGGTGTTCTTATAAAAATTAAATGAGATAGTTAATATGTAAGATATCTAACACATATACTTGAAATAAGTTTTCTTTCCTTAATAAGTCTTTTAGCCAGGCATGGTGGCATAGGCCTTTAACCCCAGCAGTCAGGAGGTTGAGGCAGGACAATCTCTGTGAGTGTAAGGTCAGCCTGTACTACTTAGCAAGACACTATCTCAAAAACAAACAGACAAACAAACAAAAAACAATGTTTTTTAACTTCTGGTCCCCATTGTCCTCATTCTTGGCATTTGTGTGAAATTTGTTTTAGGATTAATAATTATTTATGCTAATTTAATTATTTAGGATTATAATTATTTTTCTTTCTAACAGGTTTCATTATTACTTAAGCTGCATCCATGGAGCACATACAGGGTGCTTGGAAGACGATCAGCAACGGTTTTGGACTCAAGGACGCCGTGTTTGACGGCTCCAGCTGCATCTCCCCGACGATCATGCAGCAGTTTGGCTATCAGCGCCGGGCCTCAGACGATGGCAAACTCACAGACTCCTCGAAGACGAGCAGTACCATCCGAGTCTTCTTACCGAACAAGCAGAGAACAGTGGTATGTGCATGCTCTTCCTAGTAAACTCAGCTTTCATCTGCCTGTAGAAACCCACATGGACCCTATTGCCCTACCGTGGGCAGGCAGAATCTCATTGTCACTTAGTGTCTTTAGAAATTGATTTTTTTGGGGTGGGGGATTTAGCTCAGTGGTTCCCTGCCTCTCAAGCACAAGATCTTGAGTTCAATCCCTGGTACCAAAAAAAAAACAAAAACAAAAACTCTAGAAATTGATTTTTCTGTCCCATTATATTATTGCTCCTTCCAAACTCCCTACTTTTCCCTACTTTGTGATCTTCCTCCTGTTGTTTCTCTTGTTTGAAATGGCTTTTCTCTGTCAACACATTCATACAGGGGACATTTATAAGACTTACTTGAAAAGTTTGTTTAATTCATTTGTTTGTTTTTTGTTTTGGTTTTTGAGACAGGGTCTTGCTTTGTAGTTCAAACTGGCCTTGAACTGACTATATGGCCTAGGCTGGCCTTGCATTCACAGTGATCTTCCCAAGTGCTAGGATGACAGGCACGTACTATCATGTCCAGTGTACCTACTGTTTTCTATTAATTTTCTTTCTGACCTTTTTTTGAGAGGTCAGATAAGAATTGTGGAGGTCATAGAGGTCTGAATGCCATTGGTTCTTCCCCATAACCATCTCTTGCCAGTTTAGGACCCATAAAGCCTGCCCACATTTGATACCCCCTCCCTGCCTTTTCTCAGCTGAGTTATCTAATGAGCTACACAATATTTTGAGCCTCTCTGTTCTGACATTTATGAAATGCAGTTCAGACTTAGTGCAGTGGCAGCTCTTGACCGTATTGTAGCTTTTTGGGTCACCGATAACAGCCTTTATGGCTTTCAGGTTGGGAACCAGTGATAGAGTGGCTTTGCTTCTAACTCTCGTGCCAAGGCTCTGGCAGAGAAGGGTGGTCTCTTCTCTGTCAGGCCACCTCTGGCAGAGCCCGCTTCAGGTTGGAGAAGCTACCTGGGGGCATCCTCAGCCATCTTCATGTCCTCGTACCCTAGGTGGTTTCTTCTACTCTCAGTAGCTCCAGAAATGATTTGAGGAATTCATTGTAGTTGGGGGCAGGGGGCAGTAGAGAAAAAGCAGAGGATGGGTGTCTGACTTTAATAATGTTAGAAGTAGTAATTCACTTTTATGTTTTTAAACATACCTGTCTCTCTGATCTGCTGCTGCTGCTTCTAGTGAATGACTAGAACTGCATTTTTAACTACTTGACCAGAAAGTCAAATGCAGATTCCTGGGCTTCATTATAAAATAACATAGGTCTGGGCCCTTGGACATGCTGGGAGGGGAGGCTGAGAGCCTATATTTTCACAGTTCCTTTGTGGACCCTTCCACCAGTGCAAGGAGGTGCCCTCCTGGTCTAGGGCACTGGCGCTTGGGACTTGTGAGGCAGAGACTGACACACACGTGGGTCTACTTGTGGAGAGTACTGCTGCTCAGTGTGCTCTTGCTTTTCTCCTTGTTCTCCATGTCTTGCCTTCATGCTTCAGATTAGTGTTTCTCACTCCCCCACCTTTTTTTAGGCAGACCTTGAACTCAGTGTAGCTCAGGCTAGCCTTGAACTCATGGTGATCCTCCTACCTCTGCCTCCCGAGTGCTGGGATTATAGTCATGCACCACCATACCTGGCTGTTTTTCATTTGTTTTGTTAGAAGTTAATGGAATTTTTCTGAGATTATCACTGCTTCAAGAAAACTTTCATTTAAAAATACAAGGATAGCCAGGTCTGGTGGCGCACACCTGTAATCCCAGTACTTGGGAGGCTGAGGCAGGAGGATCGCTGAGAGTTTAAGACCAGCAAGGTGTACATAGTTCCGGGTCAGCCTCAACCACATAGTGAGACCCTGTCTCAAAAAAAACAAAAACAAAAAACCTAGGCTAGATTAGAATAGCGGTTATCTATGCAGCATCCAGTTTTTACTTAGTTAATAGTGGCACTTGTTTAGTCTGTCTTTCCACACTCCTTGGTAATTATTTTGACACCTTGTCTGAATTATTTTGGTATGTACAAGAAACCTTTAAAGAATGTTATTTAAAAAAAAGTAATACATGTATATGGATCCTCTTACTTACTCCCCAGTTTCAGAAAGGGCTCCTGTGATAGCTACTTGAAGAGTCAGGTGGTCTTCTGTACCCTGTTATTTGCAGCTTTTCCTCTCCCAGATATCTGAGGGAAAGAGCACGCCATCCAGAGCAAAGGAAGCTGTCCTAATCTCTAGAGGAACTTCGATAGTTTGGAAAAAATCTTTTCTTTCATTCCAGATTTCATCTTTCAGGAGAATGTTCTTCTATGGCTCCCAATCATGCCCTGAATATAAATTCTCTTCTGCAAGGTTAGATTTTTCTATACTGTGCTCTTATGGCAGAGCCCATCTCTATGCTTCAGATATTGATTATCAGGCAGATAAGTAGCAAAATAAGGCCCTGTGAAACTGAATATGGGCCCTCGATGAGGCTTTCAATTACTTGTTGCACTTTTCTTCCAGTCCTTCCTAGTTTCATTGTTTCTGCTTTGCACCCTAATGTGGTGGCCCATACTGGAGCCAGGTAACTGGGCAGGCCCAGCACCTCTGTGCTGTTCTGTAGGCATCTGTCTCTCTCCTAAGGCAGCCAGGGAGGAGTTGCAGGAGCTGGCAAGGCTTCTGGTAGCTGCAGCTGCTTTGTGCAGGAGGAGGAACTGTACTGTGGGCTCAGCATTGCACGTCTAAGTCTGCTCACTCTAGGTGCCTTATTTAAAATTAACTTTCTTAGCTTTGAAAACAAAATATAGAGAGCTTTTATCTATAAACTTTGAAGGATTTCAGTTGAAAATTTTATATACCTGCCATCAGAAAGCCAGCCAGCCTATGAAAAATAGGCATTTTAAAATCATAGAACTTGTCTCATGTTTGTTATGAATCATACTGGCTTGTTACCCTTTTCTTCCTGTAATGTCATCTTGCATACCCTTTGTCAAGTCAAGCAAATTAGAGGTGCATTCAGAGAATGTCACTATCCCTTTCCATCTGTATTCTCAGGTGTTAACAACTGGGCCACATCTTTCTATACTCCTCGTTAATAATCTTACTCTATTATTTTGAAAAATATTTTCCCCTAATGAATATTTCATGGACTACTTTCCTCCCTCTAGGTAACCCTAGTAAGCTGCACAATGGGCCACCATATGGCTATTCATATCTCCCCCTCCCCCTCCCCGTGTGTGTGTGTGTGTGTGTGTGCGCGCGCCCCCCCCCCGTACTGGGAATCAAACTCAGTACCTTGCGCTTGCCACACGCCACACAGTCACACTGCCACTGAGCAAAATTCCCAGCCCATGGCTGTTCATATTTCATTCAAGCACACACTTAATGCTGGACAATTCAGGTGGTTCCTGTGTGCATATGCACACGTGTTTACCATTACCAGCAGTGCTGTCATAAATCTTTGTACACCTCACGGGGTGGTGTCTTTATTCCTGTGCTCTTTCCAACTGGTGCTGCAGCCTGGGTGGGTCCTGAAGGTGACCTTTATTTGTAGGTCAATGTGCGGAATGGGATGAGCTTGCATGACTGCCTTATGAAAGCGCTCAAAGTGAGGGGCCTGCAACCGGAGTGCTGTGCAGTGTTCAGACTTCTCCATGAGCACAAAGGGTAAGAGCTCATTATTCAGGATGATGATTCCATTCAAATAATTGTACTAGCTTCCCACAGAACAGTGATGGTGAACCTTTCAGAGACTGAGTGCCAAATTGTGACCTAAAACCCATGTGTGTATTGCAAAGTGCCAAACACTACAATTAAACCTGAATACTGAAGTTTTAGTATATAAAAAATCCTCTACATTTACATCTTTTGTTTTAAAAGAAAAACACAATAACATGTATGTCATAGGTTTGCCATCACTGCCATAGAATATCATGTATTCATATACTTTTGTTTGTAAAGAGAGAATTCAGAAAAATACGGTACCAAGAACTTACAGTTACCATATCCTTGGAAATTCTCTTGAAAAATAAAATACATGTGAATGTTGATATTTCCATTTCTCGACAACAAAGATTGTTTTTTTGCATTTGCTGTAAGGCAGTTCATGGAGTGGATGGATGATCGCTATTCATAGGTAAAGCACACTACTCTTAGGAGATAAGCTCCTGCTATTCACTTGTGCTTTTTTGTTGGGGCTACTGGAGGTCAGACCCAGGGCCTCATACATGCTAATAAGCACATGCTCTACCCCTGAGCTAGCCCCTCTCACTCATTTTTATTTATTTTCATAAGTATTAAATCCTTCCTGTTTGACAACTATGGGGCTGAAAGACAGATGCAGGAGAATTTCTGTTTCGAGGAAGACTGAGCTGATTTCTGATAGCAGTTGTAGGCTGGTGGTTCCAGGATAGAAGTAATCCCCCCATAGCAGCAGAGCTGTCCATAATTATATAGTATGCTTCTCCAGTTGGGGAGACCTTTACAGAAAGTTCTTTGAACTTTGCCCTCTTGTGGAAAGCAACATCTCTGTCATGTAAATCTTCAGCTTCTGTCTTTGTGGTTTTGAGAGGTCCCAATCTGAGAGAACAGCCTGAGTCATGAGTCTGCTCAGAGGGTGAGCTTAACTGTGTCCATTCTTCCTAAGCCAGCCCACGGTGTTCCTTAAGAACCAGAGGGATTCTGAGACAGTGAAGACCTTGTTTGCTCTTCTCCAAAGCTTTGTTGATTTGGAGGTGGCCTGGGTTCTATCTAGGACAGATAGTTCCTGGAGCTTGATTAGAAAGTAGTGTCTCCCCTCCTCTTCGTTACGATGGAACAGCACTTCAGAGTGTCATGAAGTGTCCCAGACCTTGTGCAGGGAATTACATTAAGGGTGGATTACTTATTGGGGGTAAGAGGAAAAATTACTTGGATAGGTTGTCTGGTAGGTGATGGGAGAGGCTTGAAGGTACTAGATCTGCATTATTCTCTCCTTACCTGAGCACATCCAGCCTTCAGGAAATGGGCAGGCAGGAAACAAGACAGGAGAAGGGGATACATTTTTCTGTCTTGCTTACTCTGGGGGCAGCAAGAATGGTCTCAGTAAATTTTAAGACAGTTAAGCTTCCCTTTGACTTAAATTTGTTTTTATAGGTCCTGTGAACAACTACAGATCTGAGTTTATTATTAATGGCAAAGTATAGTTGTAGTTCTTTTCTATTTTGGCTCTGTAGTAATACTTACAATTTCTTGCACAGGATTTGAGGATTTTTAGGGGATTTTAATATCACAAAGTCTTCTTTAATATGTATTTACCTTAACATGAGATCATTGCCTTTTATGTTTAAAGAAAACTTTATTCTAAGAGCACATACACACAAAAAAGAGCACAAGCTTTGAAGTCCAACAGGCATAGATTCCAACATAGGCCCTTTTCTTAACTCCTTAGAGCCCAGATTTTTCCTTTTGAGGTAGGGTGATAATACCTACTTTATAAGTTTGCTGTATGGATTATGTATGTGAGTGCTGTTTGGGCATAAGTTGTATTTAGATAGCACACAATAAAAGGTAGCTGTGTTACTCATGTTGGACTGTCAACTTGCTTCAACATTTCCCTTTCATGTTATGTTTTTTAAACCCCCTTTAGTAAAAAAGCACGTTTAGATTGGAATACTGATGCTGCCTCTTTGATTGGAGAAGAACTTCAAGTAGATTTCCTGGATCATGTTCCCTTTACAACACACAACTTTGTAAGTTGCAGATCTCTTCTTATTTCATGGTGTGTTGAGTGCCTTGGTGTGCATGATAGGGACTTCTGAGAGGTAAGGTAATAAGTATATACATTGTTGGATTATTTACAGCTCTAGTTGTGCCATTGTTTACATTCCGTTAGCAGAGATATACTTTAATTTCTGGTTATGAATTGTGCAGATTTTGGAAACATGACTCTTCATTTGTTTAAATTGGAGACCAGGGAGGAAATAAACTATCTCTAGTCATCTTGCCTTTACTCAGCACAGCTTAGCCCTGTGTCTTGTTACAGGCTCGGAAGACGTTCCTGAAACTTGCCTTCTGCGACATCTGTCAGAAGTTCCTGCTGAATGGGTTTCGATGTCAGACTTGTGGCTACAAATTTCATGAGCACTGCAGCACCAAAGTCCCTACCATGTGTGTGGACTGGAGTAACATCAGACAGCTCTTGTAAGACACTGTCAGCCCCCAAATGGAGGGGTGGGGCTGTAGATGGCTTTGTGATCTGGAAATCATCTGCATTAGAAGCATGATAGTTTTGAAGTTAGCTATTTTAGTCTGGCATTATAACCCATCATCTGTCCAGTGGATGGTGGCGTACTATGATGCAGGGAGGGATGAGCAAAAGGACGTGAGAGCTCAAAGGTTTCTCACCCTTTCTCTGCTGGGGACATCTACTAGATAGATAGTGGACTCTATTCTGCATTTTGTGGAATATGCCTGATGGGCCTTAGAATACTCAGGAGTAGAAAGCATAGCTCGGCTGGGTGTTGTGGTGCATGCCTATAACACTAGCATTCTGGGAGGCTGAGGCAGGAGGGTAACGTGGAGCGTACCCTGGGTAACTGAGTGACTTAGCAAGACCCTATTTCAAGTAACTTTAAAAAAGGGCCAAGGAGCTGGGGATTTGGCTCAATGGTCCTGCCACCTGCCTCACAAGCACAAGGGCCCGAGTTTGACACCTCGGTCATCCCCCTCCCCAGGGCCAAGGATATAGTTCAGTGGGAAGATGTCCTGGGCTTTTCAGTCCCTAGTGTATACACAACACACACACACACACACACACACACACACACACACACACCCCATAGTTGATGCTATTTTCTTCATCTCAGACTGAAGAAGGTATTATTTGGGCTTAAACTGGTTTTAATATAAAGTTTTGAAAGAGTCATACTTTTATCAGGGGACATACCAGGTACCAAACTGTATCTCATACAGTTTAGTTTATTAAATAATTGAAAATTGACTGTTTACAGTAAAAGCACATGTTTCAAAATTCCTTTTAAAACCTTACTGTGAAAAGTCAGTTTCATCCTTTACTGAGGGTATCAGAGAAGCCAAGGGGGCATTTCCTTAGTCCACACTGGGAACATCCTTGTTGCTTTCATGGTACTTGGTGTTGGCTGAGCTTGAGTAGCACAGAGGGCACAAACTTAAAGTCCAGTGGCTGCATCACCATGCCAGTTTTGTTGTTACCTGTGACAGGCCTACTCTGAGATATGATGCGACAGCACTCAGTGCCCCCGCATGGAGGGATGCTGCCAAGATAATGGTCACCCTACTTCTCCTTTTGTTTAGGGCTTTAGGTATTAAGTCTGTTTTTTCTTCATACTTAGGCTTCACTGTCTGTCTCAAGAAAAGCTCTCTGTTCCATAGTTTGTAAAATGCTCTGCTGTAGCTTTAAAATGCATTCTTTTGCTTTAGCTGGACATCGAACCAACATGTCCTATAGTTGCCCACAGGGGCCTGTGTATTTGTTGGCAGGTCCTGTCACATCTGCTTCCAGCTGGACCCTGCCACTCGGGTGGGCAGTCCTCTTTCTCCAGGTGGCCAGGGTGGTGGAGGAAATGTGCCTGGGGAAAGTGCCATTCGTAGCTGGGAGTGGGCAGGGTGGCTGGGCCTCTTTGAGGTCCCTGCATATCTGTAAACAGGTCTTTCCCTGATTTCTCTTAGGTTGTTTCCAAATTCCACTATTGGTGACAGTGGGGTCCCAGCACTACCGTCTTTGACAATGCGTCGGATGCGAGAGTCTGTTTCCCGGATGCCTGTTAGGTAACTTGTAACCCGTAGCCTTTCTTTTGGAAAGCAGAGTTGGGCAGGGGTGAGAGTCAGAAGCCCTAATTCAGAAGACAAGAGCTGCTTGTGGTCCCTCCTCTGTTCTGTGCTGCTGCTTGCATCATGGCCAGATGTGGAAGTGTCTTTTGTGGCCCCGTGGCTCTTACATTCTGGGAAGTGACTTGGACTCAAGTCCCTTCTGTACTGTGGTACATTCTTTAGTAACTGGTTACTTGTGGAGAAGCTTAAGAGCCTACCTTTCTTTGTGGCTGAAGAGGAGGCTCAGTAAGAACAAAGCCCTGCACTCCCAGTGCTTCTTAGGGTTTTGTATTGCTAAAAAAGAAGAGTATAATTAGATCTTCAGAATAAATACCCTTTAAAGAATGCCTGTAAGTTCCATATCACTTATCTTTAATGCTGCTTTCTAGCTTCACAAATTAGAGTTTGAGTTCACATCTTGCTCGGTGTTACACATGAATTTAGAACCTGAAATGAAATCTACATCTTTGTCAAAAGTATCTGTCTTTAATGTGTATGTCATCAGGTAACATTTAATAGCTATTGTAGAACTTCTGGAGAAATTGTTAAAGACAGCTTTATTTTGGAACAAGGAATTTGCTGGGCATGGTGGCATAGGCCTGTAATCTCAGCAGTCGGGAGGCAGAGGCAGGATTATGGGTTCAAGACCTGCCTTGACTACATAGCGACATCCTATAAAAAGAACAAGGAATTTGTATCAAAATTATATATATTTGTATATAACTTTAACTTTTTTTTGGTACCGGCAATGGTACTCAGGACCTTGAGATTGTGAAGCAGGTGGCAGAACCACTGAGCTAAATCCTTGACCCAACTTTAACTTTTTGATAGTTTAAAAAGCATATTAGACCAGAATACTGTGTTTGCCTATGAAGATTCGAAGAAACTAAGTTTCTGAAGGCATACCTACAGGATTAGTTGGAAAAGTGGCTCTTCAAGGTGATAGGACAATTTCTGTAATGAAGACTAGCCCCTTATGCCTTGAATTCATATATATTTTACCTGATTGTGAATGTAGCTTAAACTAATCTTTAAAGCAGATAATGAAAATGGTGTTTGGGGGCTGAAAGCCAGGGCCTCATACATGTACACAAGTGCCCACCACTGAGCTGTGCCCTAGCTGCAACTATTGTGTCTGGATTGGTGGTACTGCAGATATAACCCTGGCAAGCAAACACTACATTCAGCTGTGTTCCAGCCCCAGATGTTCTACCTTTATAAATGTTCCCAAATTGTTGAAGAGATGGTTGTCACATTGGCTGAAAAAGGCCATTGATTTATTCACAGCTAGGTATTTCAGATCTAGGGCCAAGTTGACAGTAATTCCTTTTGTGTGCTGGTTTAGGGGAGAAGCGTGTACATTGGGTAAATGTTGGCCTCTTTGCAAAGGTGCTCAGCAGGCCTAACCATCTGCTTTAGAGGTTTAGTGCTCTCTGGTTTGGTTCTAAATGAAACTGGGCAGGTTTCAGCTAGGTTAGCAGGTGGTATTTGGCAAAAATTGATCTGTTCTTTTGTGGAGATGCTTTAAAATTCTATGTATTGTGTAGAGCTGATTTATTGGAAAGAAAATGTGTAATGTGTTATTTTCATCTGAATTATAAGCTCAGGTGCTAGTATTCTCATCTTCAGTAATTTGTATGCAGTAGGATCGTGTACCTTAGTGATAAAGTGCTTGCCTGGCCTGTGCAGTTCTTGAGTTTGATCCCTACCACTGCAAAAACAACAGTTTACATGCAGAAGCACCTAGATGGAAGAGAATTTTTTTAAATGATGCTTTGAAAGAATGAGATATTTTATAGTTCATGTTTGTTCCCACGTATTTAGATGAAGTTCAGGTAGCTGAAAGACTGCCCCAGTGGGGTGGCTTGAGTGCCAATCATGGAGTCTTTTTTTATTTTCTTCTTCTTCTTCTCTTGCCCAGTTCCCAGCACAGATACTCCACACCTCACGCCTTCACTTTCAACTCCTCCAGTCCCTCCTCCAAAGGCTCCCTCTCCCAGAGGCAAAGGTCAACATCCACACCCAATGTCCACATGGTCAGTACCACGCTGCCCGTGGACAGCAGGATGATTGAGGTAAGGAGCTCCAGCGTGGTGATCTCTGTCAGTCACTTTGTAGCTGGGGCTTCTAGTAGGGGTGAGTTTTGGGTTTCAAATTGGGTCAGGTATGTTGCAGTATTTTCTCAGGCCCCTTGACTTAAAATATTTTTATTTTTATTTAAAATATGTGTAGAGGGCCGGGGATTTAGCTCAGCGGTTCTACCTCCTGCTTCGCAAGCGTAAGGTCCCAAGTTCTATCTCGAGTACCAAAAAAAAAAAAAAAAAAAAAAAAAAAAAAAAAAAAACGCAAAAAAAATCTAGACTGTCAGAGTGATCAGGTTAGTATATTATTCAAATATAAAACTAACACTTCCTGAGGAAGTGTTCACAGTTGTACGTTCTTCGCATGTCAGATTGGAATAGTTTTTTATTAATAGAGTCATAAAGAGTAGTTTTGTACAGGTGTGGGGAAGTAAGCAGTGATGGAGAGGTACAGATTCTTTAGAGGACTTTTAAATGACCTCATTCAGAAACGAAAGGGTGGAGTCCTTGGAGTTAAGTAAGCAGCTATAGAAATGCCCAAAGCTAGTGTTTTCAAACCTTTTCTTTTCTTGGCTTTTTGGTATGTTCTGTTTGTTTTCTACTTCATCTTTAATAATAACTGAATATACTTAAACTACTTCCTTTGTTCTTTATTCTTCTTTGTTTCTCATTGCTTTGGACTAGAATAACAGCCTGAATGCTTCTCCCAGGGCGTGGTCCAGAGGATTTTGTGTGAGGGGAAGAGTAGGTATTTTTTCTTCATGCCTTTGTTTCCTTGCCTTTAACAGGATTGTTAAGATTGTTATAACTTATTTGGCACTCAAAGGTCAGCATTCTGTCCCTGCACTAGAGCCCAGGAGTGTGGTCACTGTTCCCAGGGTCCTCAGTGACAAACTTATCAGGGAGAACTGTGCTTGCTTTGCACTGTGAATTATGCCTTGAAAATAGTCAGGGACGTCTGCCACCTCAGGCGTGGTTTATCCTTCTCAGCCTGCAAATCACTGTCATACTTGTCCTGCCACCATGAGGGGGCCATGTATAAACTGTGAGTTTGATTACTGTTTTTTCACCATGATTCCACTAATAGTACAGTAATAAGCCAGCTACTTTTCTTCTGTTGTATAATTTGTTCCTGCATAAGCACTCTTAATACTTGGAGCATTAAAAGTGAAAGTTCTTCAATTTTTATTGTACAATAACTGTCATGCTTATTATTTTTAAAAATCACATGCTTCATCTCTTTTCTTTGGGTGGCACTGGCGTTTGAATTCAGTGGTGCTCTACCTCTGAGCAACACCCCAGCATTGTTTATTTTATATTTTGAGACAGGGTCTTGCTAAGTTGTCACACTGGCCTTAAAATTGCAATCCTCCTGCCTCAGCCTTCTGAGTAGCTGGGATTTCAGTCCTTGCATGATTTAGCATTTTACATGTGAAATTTTTTTGGAAAGCATTTATAATTCTCCTAAACTAATATTTAGATTCCTTCTAGGATAAACCTATCCAAATGTAGTTACAGTGCAGCAAAATATGAGCTATTAATGAATACAGGGAAGAAAATTACAGTGACATGAAAGGATAAAATCTTTGTATATGTGGGAATATAACTGTTTAATAAAAATATGTTTTTCTATGCTTTGACTACAAAGAACAGCCTAGTTGGCTAATGAAGCTATTTCTGCTGAATATTCCATTGAAATCCAGGTTATGTTTGGCTGGTATTTTGCCTTGCTAGAAGTTACCCTGCCATACTAAAGCCCTAGTGATTCCCATACTTCCCTCCTTCCCTTGCAGGTAAGGTGGGTACAGAGTTGGCCAGGGCTGGGAAGCAGAACCAGGCTTCACTGCTAAGTGCTGAGGATACCAGGCAGGCGGGGAGGAGGGCAGGTGGTTCATGGTGGTTTTCTCTTTAAGGATATCATGGACTAGGTCATTCTAGCTCCATTATATGGTGGATCAAGAATCTCGCCTACACTAGCATTACACAAAGCAAAGTGCACAGGACTTCCCAGGAAGATGCCCTTTTTGAGGGCAAGGGGCATGTGATTTCATATTATTTTGTTGCAAATTCCATTCCTAGGGAAGGTATTTAAATTAGGATCTAGGTTTAAACTGTTCTGTTTCCATAATGGCCTAATGTCACACTTGCCCTGTGGTGTGAGGTGGCTTACAGTGGCCATGGCACAGGCCCATCCCATGCTTGATGCTGTCTGGTTGTGTCTGGGACCCTGGCCGTAGCTCTTGGCCTGTTCACAAGTTTTGAACCAGAGGACTATGACCCATCATGCTTTCCATGATTCCAGTCTTGAGTGAAGTCATGGTATGTGCCCTGGCTGACTCCAGCTTCTGGTTTTGTTTCCCTAACTCTTAGTGCAGTAAGAGGGAGCTTGGCAAGAACATCACTGCCTCTCCTCTTGAGGCTCAACCTGGGCAGAGTCCAATTTACAGTGATGTGCCAGCCTTCTAGGAAGGGTGCCTTTTGTGTATGTTGTTTTTTCTGTGAAAAAGAGTGCGGTTTCTATTGGATATGAAAGATTATAATGTCAGGCTTCCTACTGTAAAAGCTAGTCTTGGAGAAATTGGCCTCCAGCATTTGATGAATTTAATTGAGGGAAATGGATGAGTGTATAGGATTAGACTTTGTGCTGGAGGTTTTATAGTCCACTTCACTCCTGCAGATCCCCCTGCTTTCCTTCTAGCCCACAGGTTGACCAGCTTTCCTTTTCTGTTTCAGGATGCAATTCGAAGTCACAGCGAATCAGGTACTTTTCCGTAGTCATTTAGCAAACAGTAATAGACTTTTCTCTCTATGCTGTGTATCTCCTGTGGACTTATACACGTGTGGATGCTGTTTGTTTTGTCTATTAAGCCTCCCCATCAGCCCTGTCCAGCAGCCCCAACAACCTGAGCCCAACTGGTTGGTCGCAGCCCAAAACCCCGGTACCGGCACAAAGAGAGCGTGCTCCAGGACCTGGCACACAAGAGAAGAACAAAATTGTGAGTGTGGCCCACAGTCCTTTGTGTATTAGTGCTCTTGTTGGAAACTAGAATGCTATTAACTTATCCTAGGACAGAACTCTAATAAAATAAGCTTAATGAGTGAGGTTATGAATCTTAGTGCCATTTTTGTCATGCTTACTCGGGAAACTTGCCAGTGTGCCCCACACTAAAATGGCATTTTCTCAAAGGCAATAATGAGAATTTTGGTTGGGGTGGGGCTGAGGATTTGGTTCAGTGGTGCTGCTGCCTACCTTGCAAGTGCAAGGTTCTGAGTTCGATCCCTGGTACAAAAAAAAAAAAAAAAAGAATTAATGGTTTCTGTGTTTGTCTTTAAAGATGTGGGCATGGGTGGCATTGGATTGACCTTTGCCTCAATGCCCTAGCTGTTAATCGGCTGTTGCCATCTGTGGAGCTTGTTAACGATCTTCCCTTATTTCAGAGGCCTCGAGGACAGAGAGATTCAAGTTACTACTGGGAAATAGAAGCCAGTGAAGTGATGCTCTCCACCCGGATTGGGTCAGGCTCCTTTGGAACTGTCTATAAGGGCAAATGGCATGGTAAGTGTAGGCCTCCCTGGGCTGCAGGTTCGGGGCAGCTGAGTACAGGCCACAGAGGCCTCGAAGCAGTGCTCTCCCACAGGGAATGGGCCATCTTTGAGGCTTTATCTTAATGATGTCAGCGTGCTTCAGTTGGGATGATAAAGTTCTTGGGGCAGTTAGAAATTGGTGAACAAGAATTGAGCTCTAATCAAATGTTGGAACTAAATCCAGTCTGCTCATGAAACCTGTTGGGAAGCACCTGCTGCTGGTGTTGGGGGAGGATGGATTCTAGAAACTCAGCGCTAGAAAGGACCTTGCAGAGTGTGGCATGCAGGAAAACAGGTCCAGAGAGAGGACTCAGCAGCCCCTGGTAAGACAGTCAGGCCTCTGGGGGGAGCTGCTGCCGTTGTGCTTGTGGTCAGCTGTGGGCGTCCTGGCAAGCGAGAATGTGCAGACTTGCTTCTCAGTGGAATGTGAGTGCTGTGCTTCAGTGGAGACACTTTGTCGCTTGGAAGGAAGGTGCTCTTTTAACTTTTAGTTACAGCTTGTATGTTTTGGCAACGTCCAGTATCTTGGCAACATACTTAACATTTCTGTGTCAGTATTTTTAATGCCTGTGTCTTTATGATGTTAGCAAATATAGGCAGTATTTTCTTGGAAACATTGCATCTCTTCTAAATTCAGATTCTAATGTAGAAAAAATCTAAAGTGCCTAGGTGCCTGTGTTTCTGCTTTGGATGCCATGATAGATGTCTTTATACATAAGTGGGGAAAGTGGAAAGAAGTGTAAGAGCACCATGGGGACATAGCATTGAAATTGGTGATGCAGAAAACAAACTGCAGTGTCCTGAGTAGGCACGGCTCTTTACCATTGCAACCAATCATGTGAGAAATCCTGGTCCTGAATGGCACAGGGCCGGACATTGACAATCTTTTATGCTTTCTTTCCCTTTGAAACTCATGTGTAAGATACTGCCGCCCAGAGAAGTGACACAGTTGCAGAGTATTTGAGATGCCCCGAACCCGTGGGGGCCTCAGCAAGGAAGGGTGCAGGTCTGCAGCAGGGCTCGTAGCTGTGTCACAAGTTGCTAGGAGACGGAGGAGGGGAGTGTGGACATTGTGTCCAGTGTTTCCAGTAGGAGCAGGTGGTCCTTTTCATCCCTTAGTTCAAAGGCCTTAGTGCAGAACTGACAGGTACGGTACAGTTATGACTGTGCCCAATTTTGATTTTCTTTTGGTGGAGCACTTTTATTTGGGCCTTCCTATTTTTTCAAGGCCTTTATTACCAGCACTGTGTGTAGGCTTGTTTCCTGCCCATCGTGTGAGCCTTACACTCAGTGGTAGAAGTATTGTAGGCCTGACAAGCAAGGAACCATGTGAATGAGGATATGCTGCCAAGGAAGTGGATAGTTCTAATTTGAGGATTTTGTGCTTTCTCTGTATGTGCCTATTTTTTGTTTACAATGCAATGTTTCATTCAGTGTCTTAGAAATAGCAGCTTATAATTTCAATTCAAAAATGTTTGAACTTAGCTCAGCAGCTATAGAAGCAAATGCCGAGGGTCCAGAGCAGTGGAGACAGAGGCTCAGCTCAAGACGAGAGCTGTGAAGGCCAGCTCCTAGCCCCCTGGGAGCATCATCTCTGGTCACTCCCAGCAGCACAGGAAGGGAGATGCCTATCCTCGGGGGCTGGCTTTGGATGCTAGTGTGAGGCAGCTTGGGTCAGGCTATGATGCAGTCAGTGAGAGAAGGGGACTAAGTGTCCTTCTGTTGTAGAAAGCTGGTGTGTTTTAATAAGGGCAGATGACCCCTCTGGGCAGAGTAGAAGAGGTGGTATGTAAAAGTCAAAACAGGATGCCTGTCATCACAGCTCCTAGGGTGGGAAGATTGCAAGTTCGAGTGCAGCCTGGGCAACTTAGTGAGACCTTGTCTCAAAATAGGTAGGTGGGTGGATGGATGGACTGGGGATGTTGCTCAGGGGTGAGCATTTGATTAGCATGTGTGAAGTCCTGGGTTCAATCCCCAGTACCACTTTAAAAAAAAGTTAAAAGTAATTGTGCCAAGTGGGACTAACTCTTTCTCCTATAGTGGTCAGTAGATGAGGTATAAATTCTGATATTAAAAATATGATACCGCCGGGCGTGGTGGTGCACGCCTGTAATCCCAGCACTTGGGAGGATGAGGCAGGAGGATCACTGTGAGTTCAAGACCAGCATGGGCTACATAGTGAGTTCCAGGGCAGTCTCAACTACATAATGAGACCCTGTCTCAAAAAACCAAAAAAAAAAAGATACCTAGAGGGTGTCTTAACCTGTTGTCACAGGGTTCTCCCTGTAGAGGGGCTTCCGTCCTGATGAGCCAGTCTCAGGTTGGCAATGCTGAAGGCAGACCACAGCAGCTGTGCCAGCCCACTGCTTACCTAGCTCAGCCCCACCATGCAGGTGGCATCTGGTGGCTTCCCCTTGTGAATCATGAGAGGATTGCATGGAGAGTATCATGAGCCTAGGGAAAGATCCCGATTCAGAATTTCAAGATGGTTCCTGCGGAATCTGTTGCTTTCACACTTGTGTAAGGTAGAAAATGCCCAAGTCACACCATCCATACCACATTTACCTCTTCTCCGTGAGCACCCTCCCTCCCTACTTACACACCACCATTCTCACCCCTTACACGGTGTGTGCTGGAGTTCGTGAGTACTGGCCTTCCAGTGGTGGGCATGCCAACTACAGGGTGCTGGCATGCTTTGAGACAAAAAAATATGTCACCATGTAGTCTTTTCTGAGAGTGAGCTTAGAAGACCAGAGGAATGAGCAGCCAGCAGATGTCAGTGAGCATCTGTTGTCAGGTACCGGGGGGTTGGGAATGGGTGGGTGTGGAAAGACTTAGGGGCCCAGACTGGTGGAAGCTACCTTTATTTTCAATTTCAGACTGTGAGGCCTGTGCTTGAAGTGTCCTGGTGTTTCCCACCCAACTTCTGAGGACAGCCATTCATAACTCTCCTTCTGCCTACAGTTTTATCTTAGGATCCATTCATTTTTTTAATTCATTGTTTATTAGTACATTTTAGGTACGCAATATGATGACATTCATCATTGGGAATTTGTACTTTTACATGATATATCTTGGTTCTTATTTTTTCCCCATTTTCCTGCCCTCCCTTCAACCCCTTCATACCTCCCTATTTACAAAGACTTCGTTTCTGTTTTTAGGATCTGTTCACTTTTTAAAATTTATTTTTAATAGATACATTAAACAATTGTACATATTACTGTCATACCATTAGTGTTTTGATATGTATGTACACTGCATGATGCTTAAATTACATTAAAACATGTTTGTCTCCTCAAATGTTTATCATTTCTTCCTGGTGAATTTCAGGTTCCTTTTTTTTTTTTTTTGTGAATGTGACTTCATTCCTTAATATTGTGGGACCATAAACTCGACACATCTGACATCTAACAGGTCAGGAGTTATATGTGTCCTCTAGCCACATGACCTTTGTTTTTCTTTTTGGTTCCTTTTTTTTTTTTTTTTTTTTTTTTTTTGAGACAGGGTCTCACTATGTAGTTGAGACTCATCTGGAACTCACTATGTAGCCCAGGCTGGTCTTGAACTCACAGCGATCTTCCTGCCTCAGCCTCCCGTGTGCTGGGATTACAGGTGTGCGCCACCACTCCCGGCTAGGTTCCTTTCTTAACAGCTTTAGAAATGTACATTATTGTCATCTCTAGTCATGCTATCGTGCACTCCTTCACAGGACTTGGGGTTCCTCTCTGTGACCTAGTTACCATTCATTCGTCACCCTTTCCCCGCTCTGGTAACCCCATGTGCTCTCAGTCTGTACCCATTTTTTTAGTACCTGGGATCAAACTAGGGACGTTTGCTTCTGGGGCAGGCGGTGGAACCACTGAGCTAAATCCCCAGCCCTGTACCCATTCAGTTTTAGTCATGTTTCTCAGACATTTCTAAAACACCACTCACTCTTCCAGGGGCTAGGAAATGAAACAGTGAACAAAAATCCCCTTCCCTTATGGAGTTCCACACTCTGGTGTGAACAGTGAGGAAAGACCTGGTATACAGTACAAGCCCAAGGAAGAGGCAGGAGCTCAGGCAGGGAGCGGCTTGTTCCCATGCACCAAATATTATGGAAGGAACCAGCAAGTGACACACAGTGGCAGCAGAATGGAAGTAAAATAAAGTTTACTCCATCGATGGGGATCGGGTGATTCCCCAGTGGGTTACAACTCCTTTTATAGGATTTTACAGCCTTGATCTCATGCAGTTGGTTACACTGCATTTTGGCAAGGCAGTTGAATTTCTACCTGATGCAGTTGTCAGGGAAAGTTACCTTTAAGATTTATTCAGTTACCTATTCTTTTTTTTTTTTTTTTTTTTTTTTATTTT